TTGCTTTAGTGGGTTCTTCAGATTGTACTTTTTCTTTTCTGCTTTAAGGACAAAAATGATAATACTTAAATTGGCCACTCAGTTTCTACTATTTTAATATTTTAACGTGTTGAATTTCATTTTGTTAGGAACTCTTATATCAGATTCCTTTCACACAACCATATAGTTTGTGCTTGCAGTATATCTAGAGAACCAACAAACTCATTTCAGGTTCAATGAGTAAATATGATTGAAATAATAATAGAAGGATTTGTAATGCCTAAAAACTTTTTAAGAAATCATCTTCATATTAAAGTTGTAAAATGACCATTTAATTTGAGTAGACTTATGGTGAATATTATTTATATTTTAATAAATATATATATATATATATATATATATATATATTAAGAATTGATGTAAAAAATATAAATATTTCTTTGATTAAGGACAATGACGCAATCTCAACTATAAAAATATAAAATTAAGAAAATTATAAGATCATATTTCAATTTAAACCAATGAATATTAGACATAACAATAAATAAATATATAAACCATATTTAAATAATATATATATATATATATAGAGAGAGAGATTTTTCCATTTTACAATTATCATATTAGTGTAAATTGATTAAATAAACATATATCGATAAATTATTTAAATATTATATATTCTTTTAATTTTCTTTTATTCACAAACACGAATTTTTTGGATTTACATGCAAATATTAATCATTTAATACACAATTCATTTCAATTAAACATTGTTCATATATTATTTAGATTTTTAATATAATTTGAAATATTTAAAGTAAACTACAAGAATAATAAAAAGTATAATAAAAATAAATTATTAAAAATAAATGTGCGATAAAAGATCAATATGTAAAAAAAGTAAATTGTGTAAATGTAAGTCTAATTCATTACCAAAGATAAAACATGAATTGATAAAAGAAATTAACATAAGTGACGATTCAATTGTAAAGAATTCCATTGAAAAATAAAAAAATGTTTATCTTTTGTTCATGACAATTTTTCCAATCCTGTTTCTATTTGTCTAGATGTTATCCAAGTTGGCTCAAGTGCCCGAGGAGCATATATATATATATAACATATCTTTCGAAACAAATAAGATTACGTCGATAGGATATTCCCTTCATTCTTCCTTTATGTTGTTTATGAAATCTAGTTCTTTGGAGTTTATAATTTATTATTGTTTTTTAATTTTATCTTTATTACAGAACCGTATGTGAGATTTTCACCCTATACGGCACCTCACGAATGAAGTAATTTAAATATCTATATTAATATAGATTCAATATAATCCATAAAAAAAATGTACAAATATTCATATGTTTAGTAAATAACGGAATCTCGATATTTTTTAAGATTTCATACAATACAAATATTTTAGTACAATTTGACAATTACCTATTCTACATTTATTTCACCCAATTTATATTTTTCTTATGTAACCTCTAAAACACTTAAATATAAAAAATAAGAAATAAAATAAAATTCAAATGAAGTCAAATAAAATACACAAAATATAAATAAAGATTTATGAACAGTTACTTTTCTATAACTACTTCTATTTTCTTCGATCCACTTTTTTGTCACAAAATATTCATAGGTACGCATATCACGTAATGAGACTCATAATTGTTTCTGCATGTCTCTTTATCGTATGACTTCCTTTTGATATCTTGTTCCTTTTGATTTATAACCCTAGATTCGATATTTCTAACTTTTCGATCTGCAATGTTCAACTAATCAATAGCCCTCCCAACCCAATCTTCTTTTCTATAATATGTGTCTTTGAACATTTCCTAAACATTTACCACTTGTACCTTCGATCCATACATACCGACTTATCGATTTAACTTCACATTTTACTTTTAATTCTTTTAGTCACGATCCTCAACTTTTAAATAACTTTGATTATCTTCTTTAGCATCATTGTTTCCTTTAACACATTCTATACCTCTTGACTTATTTCTTTTGATATATTTGTAACTTTGTCAATAACAAAATGTCGTATAAGAAAATGTAATATGAATCTCGATGAGTATACATTTCTTTTATTCTCTGTCCTACTACAAATTTTAATATTTTATTTTATTAAAAACCACTCAATGAATGTTTCCATCATTGCAATTTATTCAATATGAATCAATACGAGTAAGAATAATAAGAGTGAAAATAAAAATAAACATAAAGGTTAAATATCTAGTTATGTGATATGATGAAAAATAAAGTGATTATTGAATATGTTAATATTGAGTTGATTGCCTATCATCTTAATTAGCTTTATACTCACAAAATAAATTTTAAGAATTATTTAAGACTAATGAGACTTGTTACATGAGTAATAAAATTGTAAATAAATTTATTTTGAAATTATTTTTAGTTTAATTTTTTTCATTTATTTTTGTGCGCTTTTTTTTTAGAAAACTTGTTTAATTATAACATAATTAGCAAATGATTTATTTATTAAAATCCCAAAAATTATAATAAGAATTTTAATATTAATATATTGTGATATATAGGATATTATATTTAGATAACCTTGATTCATATATTTGATTTCTTAGTCTGTGGGTAACTAACTGTTTCACAACCTGCGTCATTTCTATAATATGCATGTGTTTTTTCTGCAGCAGTTATATATATATATATATATATATATATATATATATATATATATATATATATATATATATATAATTTGAAATTCTATAAACTAGATATATATTTTTGTTTCCAGTGATTAATTAACCTACTCTCTTCTTCATCATATATAATATCTGTACAAAACATGGATTCAAAACCGAAATTGGAAAGGACATACAGAATCAATAATGAAAAATTGATTTTTTTACTTCTTCACTTTAAATTTAAATGTATTTTTAAGTTTGTCTAACAAGTCACATTTTATATTCTTTGTAAGAATTGAAGAGAAAAAGAGAAAATGAATTATCTTTGTAATATATATATTCATAAGGTACTATAAATAAACGATACTTTTAAGGTAAGAGTATCAACATTAATTTCTCGTTCCCTATTAATTCATCTACTAACTTAAACATAAGAATGAATATCTTTACAGATACCGACTACACTCTTCAAAATGACAGTATAAAAAAAAATAAAGATACGGACCCATATAGGAATGCAAGTTATCATTCCACACAAGTTCCCGGAATTGCATTAATAATCTCCACTAACATATATAAACGAAACAAGTATAACAATATTTAATAAGTCATTTTATGGGGAAAAATTTTAAATTTGAAGAAAGATAAATTTAACGGCCAAGTTTTGGCTGTTTTTGGTTGAAGGAAGTGCGTAGCCTGGCTGTATAGCTTTCGTGTGGATAACACACTCCTCCCATTTTTTAATTACACTCTTTAATTGCCACTATATCCCGTGGAGTGCACACTCCATCAAATATAATAATATACGTATACCTCTTCTTCCAATCTCATTGCAAATCTACGTGACGTTACATCAAGTCAAGTGTATCATTTTTTTATTATTATTTGTTTATTGATCTATCCACTATTTTAAAAAATATATACAAATTTTATCTTCGCCTTGTACAGTGGAAAAAAATTTAAGTAATAAGGATCTTCTCATGAAATTCGTAAACGATAAACATCAAATGATATTAAACACCTAAACCCTGAATTCTATATATAACATTGTATACCTATAATAAACATAGAAAATAAGATTTAATTTTATTTATGTATGGATTCAATAATTTTAATCCTTATATATATAAACTTGCGTCATCAAATTAATGACTTAATGCTTTCCCTCAATGTGCCCCAAGCATAAACGAATATTTACCTGACTTTAAAGGTTATTATTGCGTTTAGATAATGAATGCAGGAAAATAAAAATGTGTGTGAGATGGGGCATTGCCGAAAGCTGCACATAATCCTACGTCTCAAAATTACTCTGCCTTCGGTAACCGTCTACCGAGTTCAAATATGTTAGATTTTATCTACCACGGATATCTTATTAAAACCTAATCTAACCTAACTTTTTTTTTTTTCAGTTTTATATATTTAATTCCAAATATAATTTAATTTATTAATCAAAATTATTGAATAATAATAATAATAATATATTTTTTATTTAATTTGTTCAATTATTGTATTTATTAAAAATATATTTTAAAAAAATTTAAATAATATAATTATTTTTAAAATAATTTTTGAAAAGTTTTAGAAAAGTATTCTAAAGTTAAAAATTTTAATGAAATTAAAAAAATAAAAAAGTCTGTGATGGATTAAATTGAGTCTTTAAAAAGATGAAGATGAAGATGACCAGAGAATGTACGCACTTATCACATGTCTTTCTTACGTTATATTTAAAAAATGAATTTATTGTCATTTAATTGAAAAGTAAAATTATCATATCATATACGTTATATAGGTATTTGACAATTTGAAAGTGTCCATCAAACATTTTTCTTACGAAAAGCCATGAAATGGCTGGAAAACTTGCATCAATGAAGCTGGGAGATACATTCGTCTGTGACTAAGAGTTTATAAAGCATAAACGTGACAGACACATTGTTTAACTGTACCTGTCTGAACACATGTAAGCTAAACACATCCAGTACTTCATTTCTTAATCTTCCTCGTTATAACTTTCAAACTAATAAACCAAAACTCGAGAAAATTATTGAACCAAGTAAGATTATACCATACATTAGAATAAGGTGGAATATCTCATACTTGGATCCACCTTTTTGGTGGTGAATTTCTAACGCGAACCATATAAATTTTTTAACAAGACACTAACTTATAGCTAGTGCTTTCCTGATCACCATATCAGAAGTCCTTAATCTATATTTAGGTCCATTTACACCTCAAACTTGACGATCCCTCACTATAAATATTCATCACTAGAAGCGTGTGTTCTCCACAAGCTCTTAATATCGCATATCCTCCTTTTCTATTTCAGTACTTTCCAACTTCATTTTACCTTCATCATCCCACATGACCAACCTTGGAGCTAGAACTAATGGGATTTCATTAAACCAAGTTGAGATCCCTATCCATGCAAATGGTGTGGAGTCAAAACCGAGTGAAGAGAGCAGCATTGACTACTCTCAAAGGGGTCAGTGGCTTCGAGCAGCAGTGTTGGGAGCCAATGATGGGCTAGTCTCTGTTGCCTCACTTATGATGGGTATTGGAGCTGTTAAGAAAGAAATCAGTGCCATGCTTATTGCTGGTTTTGCTGGATTAGTTGCAGGGGCTTGTAGCATGGCGATTGGAGAGTTTGTGTCTGTATACACTCAGTATGAAATAGAGGTGACTCAGATTAAGAGGGAGAGGGAAGCTAATAACAATGGAGGAGTTGATGGAGAACCTCAAATGAAGAGGCTGCCGAACCCTTTTCAGGCTACACTAGCGTCAGCACTGGCCTTTTCTGTTGGTGCTTTGGTGCCAATGCTAGCAGCTGGATTTATAAGGAATCACAAGATTAGGATGGGAGTTATTGGTGCTGCAGTTAGCTTGGCATTGTTGGTGTTTGGAGGGGTAGGAGCAGTGCTTGGAAAAACTCCAGTGAAGAGATCTTGTCTCAGGGTGCTGATTGGAGGTTGGATGGCTATGGCCATAACATTTGGTCTCACCAAATTGGTTGGCTCTGCTGAACTTTGAACGTCATCAATGACAAGTCATTTATGTGCAGTCGCATATTATGAGTAATTTTTTTCTTTTTGGTTGTGTTGTGGTACGTTCTCACGCTAGTATTGTTACTCTTTACTACACCGTGGCTGCTTTGTTTAAGTGAACAACAGTGTGCTGTCACATTTGATCACTATTCCCAAGGATTTTAGGGTTCATAGTGTTTTCTATGATGTCTCCGAGTTTTATTTTCTCTTTCTAGTAACCCGATTATCTGTAAAACGTGTGAAACTGTTATAATGGAAAGCATATATAATATATTTGTGTATTAATATCTTAATTAATTATCTGCAACACTTAGACACTCGTCAACATTTTTTTCTTCAAAATTTAGATTTGATTTAAGTCCAAATATATTAACTAGTATTAGATATTTGGTATTTGACTGGATAAATAAAGTTGTGATTGCATTTACAGCACCAAGATAGTGGAAATATTTGGCTTTGAACATTTTTAATTACCAAAGAATCTTTCTCATTTTATTTTATCTTCATTTTGACATAAGACATTAATTGGAGCTTTATAAAAAATAAAAAAATTATTTTATTATATTAATTTGTAAGCGATAATATATTCTTATTATCATTATTAAAGGACTTAAAAACCTATAGTTGTAAAATTGTTAATGATAAAACATATTCAATAGGGTGAATTGCATCTTTAAAAACTTTTTAATTCTAATTAATTATTAAAGAATTATAACAGTATTTAAGAAAATAAGAATATCAAGATAAAGAGAAAAAAATAAGAACTCAAGAATTTATATTAGTTTGATTATTTTTTAATCTACGTCCAGTTTTAACCAAATAATCTTAACCTAGAATTTTTCATTAAAACAGATTATAACCTAATCTAATAATCTTGACTTACAACAACTTTTAATCAAGATTATAATATTTGAAAATGTTTCTCCTCACTATTTTTAAGTTAAACTAATGTAACTAATTTCATATACATTAAAATTCAATACAAGATTCACAAGAGAAAGATTAGAAATGAATTTATCTTAAATTCATATAACATTGCATCTTATAGCTAAATAATCTTTTATTTGAATTTAATCTTCAAAATATTTTATAGAATCACACTTTTTTTTTTATGCACACAACGTTCTTTTTTATTGCTTTAATTGTTTATAAAAAGATATGTAGATTAAAGAAAGTTTGTATTCTTTTATAAAGTAAAAATCTATTATAAGCTGATGTAGATAATCAATTAGCAGGATATCTAATTGATTATTTGCGTGTAATTATAATCTAAAAATAAGTCATATAATCGATTAGGTACTAACGAATTATGTTAAAATAAAAATTTAGACACATAATAAATTAAGTGACTACATAATTGATTATTAGCACGTATTTATTAGCACGTATTATGGAAACATGATTTTAAGTCATATAATCAATTAAATATTTATCTAATCGATTAATACAAATTTAGTTTTAACATATATAATTGATTATTTTTATTTTTAAAGATTAAATTATTTGGCTTTATACAAAATTACTCTTTCATCTACTTAGCTATCTTATAATGGACATCATTAAAAAGTAATTTTCAAATAATCTTCCTTCTTCATTAACACCTATAAATGTAATTATTTTGTTGATATTCAATTTGTTGTTTTTGCTTTTATGTGTGTAAGTTTATCATGCATGTACAAAAGCTAACACTTATCATTTTTCAAAATCTTTCAAAAACTAAATAAAAACATAATTGATTCTATTAAAATATAATTGATTACCTTCATATGAGTCAAAATTTTGAGAGTTGACATAGTATTACAAATCCATAAATATATAACGTGAGGAGGACTTTTTTGAATTTTTTAGAACATATATGAAAAATTGCTAACATATGGGAATTTTCTATTAAAATAATTAAATATAACATCATTTATATGAATAATTAATGTTAGATGTGAACTTTTTTTAGATTAATTATAAAATTTTATATGTGGATTATTTTTAATATGTGTAAAATAATTCATGTAAAAAATTACTTTCTTATTTGTAATTGATTTTAGTTTCTTAAAATAGAATATATATATATATATATATATATATATATATATATATATATTTAAAAAATATATATTTTTAATTATTGATTTATTGTGATTATACATCTTTGAAACATTATGTTGTCTAATTATTATTTTTACGATAAAGTGAAATGCGTTTAAACAAGTTACGTTAAAATTAAGCGATATATCAGATTTAAGTTAAACTCACTTAAACGACTACGGACTCACTTTAATCATAGAATAAACCTACATATGTGCAGTTTGTTTAAAGTACCGAGTTGATACATAACAATTTATGACAAAATAAGATTTAAAATCAATTAAAAACTGTCACGAAGATAAATTAGTTTGTGACGGTAATGAAAAGTTCATTATAGAAATTTTATGACGCTTAATTTTATAATATTTTTTCTCTTTGTCACATTAAATATTATTTTGTTACGAATTTTATCTGCTGAGCAAATTTTTTTTAATACATGAAAATAGAAATTGAACTCTACGTATAATAAATAATTTAATACTTTTTCAAACATTCTCGATTTTGTGATAATTATTATAAAATTTTAAAAATTTAGCATTGGTGATAAATTATGTATAACAATCAATAAACACAATTACTTTATTTCATCTACTCAATTCTAAAATTCTCTTTAATAGATGCTTGTCTTCATCTTTTTACTTGAGGATCCACATTTTCTATAAAATTGTATTCAAACAAATTATATTTATAACCTTTCGTAACTGATAAAAATTGTTTTGGTTGAACTTTTATTTAAAAACAAAAAAAAAATCAATATTTAAACTATTTTTTTATAAACAAACAATTCATTCCTACAAAAGGTGAAAAAAATAATATATTCTAAATGTTACCCGCTAGTAACTAGATAAAGGTGAAAAAAATTATTTCCACCGTATATATGGTATTTTTCTTAAAAATAAGTTAAACAATTAAGCCTCGAAAGATTATGTGTTAGGCACTTTCAATAAAATATTGTGTTTCAATTTCAGAAGTTATTGCTATGACTCAGGCAATTTTAAATTACTTGTTGATTAATATTCTAATATAAAAACTAAATGGAATTTCTGAAAATAAAATAAAATTTGTTAATATAACAAGGTATGCAGTTTGACTTCTTTTTCTTTCCCTTTCATGATTAATATGATATTTTTATCTGCCAGTAAACATTTTGATCCTTTTCTGGCCTTTCACGATGGTTTGTATTTATATAAATTTACAAAGACGAAAGGCCACTGCTAGTTTTTCATTTATGTTTAATTTTCAAATTATTCACATTTGGTTTGATTTTGTCCTTGGCAGAGAGAATAATATGTTTTAATAAAAGAAAATCAAATATGAATAATTTCTCTTATTTAATTGGAAATAAAATACAAAATAAATTGACGTTTATAAATAAATAATTCATTCTTTTTATAATTTAAATATAATTTATTATTTTAGCATATATATGTTATTTTTCCTTAAAAAAAATGTAATTAACCAACTGGGATCTATAAAATAAAAATTCCTATTCTTATAAAAGAAGTCATACTCGAAAAAATATTTATTTATAAAACGAATCGCATATTATCTAACTCAATTGTAAAAATTAATGTAAAAGAGAATAGTTACTTAAACCTTTTATAATATATATTTTTATAAAAGTTGAGATTAAATCTATCTAATAACAAAATATCTTAAAAAAGTTTGAGAAATCACATTGCCAATTTCAAATCAAGTTGACGTGAAATTATCTTTTGTCAAGTATTATATACTTTTGCCCTTTCTAAATATCCAAATATAGTACACTCTTTTTATTTTGTTCGGCCGAATGCACAGAGAAGACAACATATAAACCTGCGAATCTTTCATTATTTATCTCTCTTTTCTTGTTAAGAAGCCTTCACTCTCACAAACTTTTCTCTAGTTTTGTTTTCATTTTCTTGGTGTCCCTCGTTGGTTGTTGCAGCACCCGAATGGCTACTGCTACACCCAATGGTTTGGTGCCACTCAACCATGTAGGAGCAGTACATCCAAGTCCAGCACACAAAATTGATGATGAGAAGCAAAAGGAACAAGTTACTGAAGATCATAGCAGCGTTAACTATTTACAAAGGGCTCAGTGGCTTCGTGCAGCGGTTTTAGGAGCCAATGATGGGTTGGTTTCAGTTTCTTCACTGATGATGGGTGTAGGAGCTGTTAAAAAAGATGCAAAGGCTATGCTGCTTGCTGGTTTTGCAGGGTTGGTTGCAGGGGCTTGTGGAATGGCAATAGGAGAGTTTGTTGCTGTGTATACTCAGTATGACGTTGAGGTTGGTCAAATAAAGAGAGATATGAACGTGAGTGTAGGAGGAGAAATGGACTTGGAGATGGAAATGGAGAGAAGAACATTACCTAATCCATTGCAAGCTACTTTGGCATCTGCAATATCCTTTTCTATAGGTGCATTGGTACCTCTACTTTCAGCTGCTTTCATAGAAAGTTACAGGACAAGGGTTTCTATGGTTGTGGCAATGGCTAGCTTGGCTTTGGCGGTTTTTGGAAAGGTGGTGGCTCAACTGGGAAAAACTCATTCCATAAAATCTTGTGGAAGGTTCCTAGTTGGAGGATGGATAGCCATGGCCATCACTTTTGGTTTAACCAAATTACTGGGTGCTAGTGCTTTAGAATAAAGAATAATCATGTAGGCCATGGATTAATATTTTACCTATGAGAGTAACCACTCCATTGTGTTCTATCAATAAAACTAGTTTTTCATGTGAGAACCTAATTATTACCATAGCTTTGTTCTCCAGTAGTTCCACACTTCTTGTTTCAATAAGAAAAGTGAAGATATTTATATATCTCATCAATAAATGTCATAAAACTACTGAAACAACATTCACTATCAGTTTTAATTAGTGTTTGGATTAAGATTTGTAGTCTTAGATTCATGATTTAGATGTAAAAATGAAAGTTCGGCTTGGATGCAATCTTACGAATACATGTACCAAAAGATGAACTGCTATATTATTGTTAATGAATTTATGTAGAAGATTTCAGTGGACTAGAAGAAATAAAAAATTGTTAGAAGGGGTAAGGAATTTATCTCGATACATTAAAAAATACTTTTTTTATAATAATAAATATTTTTCCTTTTTTATTTTTTATTTTAATGTTCTTAAGATGTAATTAATTGTTTTTTATTTTTAATGTAAAAAAAAACTTTTAAGATGTCACATATGGACTATTTGATACCAATATAAGAAAGAACATTAGGACAAATTTGTAATTCTTTTTAAGTTTTTTAGACGTGCTATTATATAGTTTATTTAAAATATCATTTTACATTACTTATGCATATAATCAATATAAAAAATCTGTTTATACAATATGCTCCACTCCACAGCCACTAAGTCATTGTTAAAAAATTAGCTTGCATTTACCTCTAATAATAAAAAAGCGCATTATTAAATGAAGATAATAACTTAAATTTTACAAAATGATATGATTATATGATCCATACAAAAATTATATTTTGATGAAAATGATAATAATGAAACACTAAGAAGAATAAAATAAAAGTTAATGAATTATTGGAAAGAACGTGTGACGTATAAAATTTGTTTAAGACCAAAAATAATCATTCTAAACTCTTAGCGGAAACATAAATTCCAACGCGGTGCACGGACACCGATACTCCACATCGCCGATAAATAATTGAGGCTCAATTATTATTATATTTTTAACATTAGACCGGTCGCTGAAGCTGATTTAAGATTTAGCATAAATTAAAAAATTAGAGATTTACTCAAATTTTAATTATAAGAATTCAATCAAATTTAATAAAACAATATTTTTATAATAGAAAATACAAAAATTATTATTAAAATTATTATAAATTATAATAAATATTATAAATAGAAAACATATATTAAAAGATATAAAATAAATTATTATTAAAATTAAATAAAAATATAATAAAATAATTATTATTTAAAGTTAATGTAATTAATATAAGATAAAAATATTTAAAATATATTATATTTTTTATAAAAAAAATATATTAGAAAACATTTGATTGATTTATTTTTTTTACTGAAATTAGTTCAACCCAAAAAACTATATAATTTTTTCGGTTTTGTCCCAATTTAATTAAAATCTAGATATTTGAAACTAATAAATTGATTTTTAATTTGATTTCCAATTGGAATGGTTAAATAAATTAAGCATAATAGTGATATAATATTGTTTAGAATTCACGTTTGAGTTTAAAGTTTCTGGAAAAATTGAGTAATTTATAAATGAGAAAAACTCATAACCTACTTTAAGGTTTTGTGTTGAATGTGATGTGATGTTCTTTTATATGATTGACTTTGTTGTATTCGAGTGACAGATCTTTTTGGAAAATGAGGGGGTTGTGGTCCCTCCAAAGTTTTGTAACTCCCATGTAATTTATAATTTTTGTCTCTCAAACTTAATGATAATTTAATATATATATATATATATATATATATATTTGTATATTTACAATTTTATCCTCCCATCAATCCTAATTTTCATATAATTTATGATTTTGTCCCCTTAAACTTAATGATAATTTAATATATTTATTTATGTATTTACAATTTTATCTTCTCACCCTTTTATATTTATTTATTATTTATTAATAATATATTATTTGACCCTCCTAAAATCAATGGTCAAATCTATTTGTGAGAATTTCCTTATTGTAATAATAAAAAAAGTACCAAATAGATGTAAGAAATATATTTGATCTAAGTATAAATATATTAGATTATAAGGAACTAATCTTCTAAAATAGTTATATACAGAGAGAGATTTTAAACATTATTGACACAATTGTGAAATGGAACAAATTAAAAATTAGATTAAAGAACTTGTTGATAACTAGATTGATTAATATGATAAGAGATAGAGTATCGTGTGTGGATGTTTTCGTTATTCTTCGTATGGTATATAATAGATGAAAAGAAAATATGTAAGATTAATATTTGTGAAGAAAAATATAACTAATTTAAACTCGTACAACATTTTATATTTACTTTGTATCTTGGACATGTTGAGTAGCAACTTATCATACAATACATTAAAGATATTATTACATATTGTATATTTTCATGCATATATCTATTTTTGTTGAACTTATTTTCTTAAATTAGACTATTACGACATTCTTTCCATAATGTAATTCACTTTTAATGACATTATATATTGTTATTACATGTTTGTTTGACATTTTCTTAAATTAGACTATTACGACATTCTTTCCATAATGTAATTCACTTTTAATGACATTATATATTGTTATTACATGTTTGTTTGACATATATGTATGATATAAAAGAGGGTGTTAATCTTAATCTAAGTCGAGACTATCTTATATATACAATAATATATATATATATATATATATATATATATATATATATATATATATATATATATATATATATATATATATATATATATTATATTGTAAAAATTGTTCTCAATACTCTATCTTAGGAAAAGTTGAATCTTGCATGATCTGTTAAAATAGATCTGTTAAAATATTCCATGATATGCAGCATAAAAAATCCTAACCGTAATTAAGTAACTCTTATCATAGTATAATATATATCAAGTGGGCTATAAAAGTTGATATATTTGGTATCAATAAGCTTTTTATGATGAATTGAATGTATAGTAGAGGTGTTTAAAACTAAAACAATCTAAAAATAAAATTGAAAACCTATTAAAACTTATATAATTTTTTTTGATTGAAAAATTTTAAAATTAATTGTCAAGAAATCTCACATCGATTAGATGTACGATCATTTATAGTATATAGATGAGTACAATTCTTATCGTAGTGAGCCGGTTTTGTGAGGTTGAGTTTATATCTTACCATTTTTAAGATGATATCAAAGTCAACTCTAGAGTTGTTGGGACAATAACCGTTAATAGTAACCACCTGTTATCGAGACAATAACTATTAATAGTGGTGGACTTAACCACCCATTATCAAACCAATATTGGACCATTCATCCTCGATATGAGGGGGTATGATAAAAAAAATTCTCCTTGATGTTAAGGGGTATGTTGAGAAATCCTATATCAATTAGAGATACGATAACATTATAGTATATAAATTATACAATCTTCACCTTACTGAGCCGATTTTATAGCGTTGAGATAGATATCTCACAATTTTCAAGAATGATTTTGGTTTTACCGTCAAGAAACAACACAAACCAAATCGAACTAAAATTATAATATATAATGTTGAAGTTAAAATATAGAATGACATTTGGCGCATGTGTGTTGAGTCTTTCGAGGAGGATAACAATAGGGAGATTCTCACAAATGAAACATGAGGTCAACCCACATAAAGATTGACATCACTCTCAACCAAAAACCTAAAGACATTAGGCTATGGGTCATACTTTCTTACATATTGCTCAACTTTCTCATTCTTACACAATGTGAGACTTAGACTCACACTTATATTTCCTAACAATATCCCCCTCAAGTGTGAATTTTCCATATTTGTACCCCTCGAGCTCATTAGTAGCCTTTTCATGTACTATCATTCACTCTAACGAGACACACTTATATGACTCACTCTCTCAGGAAGACTTTCGATACAAAGACCACTCTGTCTCACTGCCGATCAACCTTCGGTCTGATACCACTTGTTGGGTCTTTCGAGAGAGGATTTACAGAGAGAAACACACCAATGAGACATGATGGTAGTTCTCATTCACACAATTAGGTTTACCATTACATGAGTATTTATAATAAAAGAATAAGTAAATGGGTTAGGTCCAATAATCCTTCAGACTCCAAAAACTTAACAATCTCCCACTTGGAGGTTGTTCACATCAAGCACACTCCAATAAATCTAGTAAACCTCAAAGTTATAACAACCTCAAACTAGTGCACTGCCTTCTCAACAATTAATCATGAAGGTCAGTTGAAGTTATACAAAATTTCAACTTCTCAGTAATAACCACCTTGATCAACATATTTGCAGGATTCTCTGACCCAAGGATTTTCTTCAAAAACAAAGTACCATCACTTATTAGCCCTCTAATGAAGTGATACCTCAAAAGGATGTGCTTTGTTCTTGCATGAAAAATAGGATTCTTTGCAAGATGAATGACACTCTGATTATTGCTATAAAGCATATTGTCACATTACTTCTTGCCTAGCTCCTTAAGAAAATTCTTCAACCAAATCATTTCCTTACTAGCTTCCGAAATAGTCATGTACTCTGCTTATGTGGTTGAAAGTGCAACATTTTCTGAAGCCGAGAAATCCAACTAACTTCTGTGCCACCTATTGTGCACCTATTGTGAAGACAAATCCTATAGTGCTCTTCCTTGTGTCCAAACACTACTACAAATAAGGCTTTCCACGTCGGTTCTGGAAGGCCTTCAACGGCGGTTCCGGAACCGACGTTGTATCAGGCGACATTGAAAGTCTGATTTTAACTTTCCACGTCGGTTAAATAGAACCGACGTTGAAAGTCCTGAATTTCAAATCGAAAATTTTTATTTATTTCCAACCCCTCTCCCCTCTCTATTTATCTAGAAATCCCCCTCTCTTTTATATTATATTTTTATTAGGTCCCTCTCTCTTTTATATTATATTTTTATTATTTATCATCTTTTTTTAAAGTTTAGAG